AATCATAAGACGTGACGTGAAAGTGATAATCTCAGAAAGTGACCACAAGATATTCCTTAGCCTGTCAGTATTGGTAAGCAATTACGCAGGTATTTCGGAAGTAGCGAAAACTCTACATAACGCGTATTTATGAGTGGATGGCCTGACGGTTTTTGCGTAAAAAACTTGTGCTTGTATGTCCGTCAGACTTGCATTTATGTAGCAATTTAGTTGGACGCCAGTTTTGTGGAAACACCCTACGACAATTTTTATTAACCAATATAGTAGTAAGTCTATGTTCTCTTACCTCGAAAGCTGTTATTTAAACAAAGTTTAGGGCAACCTTGCATTGCCACTGCAAGAGGAATGGAGTGCCAAAACTGAACTAGCTAATTAGTGAGCCGTGGGCTGCGGTTAACTAAAGTTATTGCACGTACGTATGTTTTATTTAATTATTCGAAGGGACACGTAATCCCTGAGCCTATCTAACCATGCCATCCTGCCTATAGTCTCACTGCGGCCCATCAAGAATTGCATTGAGAGACCGATTTGGACTATAATGTTATTTTAATTAATTTTTTTCAAGGTAAATATTCTTATCAACCATTTTGTAGAGACAGTCACAAGTTTTATGAAGCCACGTCAACGATGGAATTATGTTATGTTTAGTTTGCTTATATTTAATGCAATTTGAAGAAAAGAAATTCTTTTCAATTTAGCTCAGAAATTGATTTATAAGCATTTCACTTTCTCTAGTGTTTACGTGCGTATATGCAGATAAAAAAAAATAAAATAAACTTACATTTCATAGACGCTATAATTTGTTTTCATTTCGTTCGTCTATTGATTCGATTCGTTTCATTCATTTCCACAGATGCATTGATTTAATTTTAGTTTTACTGCACTTGAATGATTTTCATTTATTTATTAAATTAAATTTTCCATTACAATTTCTCTCTGAGCTGAGCGTTCGTTCTGATCTCTTATATGTTTTCTGTACGGTTGATTACAATCTCTGGTATTAAAACATAAAAAGATTTCGTAGATGTGTTCTGTTATTACTTGCTCTTTACGTTTACGTATATTGCATGTATATGTGTGTGCTTGCCTGGGTTTTATTTTTTCCCTTTTTTATGTTACGAAGTAATTGATTTTCCATGGCAGGAGTTTATTTTCATGCTTGTCTTTGATTTATTTATTATTTGTTGTATTTAACTCTATGTCATTCATTCAGTCAGTTAGAGCTTGTCAACGTTTGATAGGTTGCTTTGGTAAGCTTGTCTCTTGATTTTTTAAATAGTCAAGTGGCTCTGCATGTGTTTGTACGCATGGGTTTCACATACAATTGACCGCAAGAGGGATTTTATAATTGTTTCAATCATTATTTTATATAAATACTTTTTTAAGTATTTTCTGTTACTAAGCAACTGAAAAGGCCTGCAGGGTGATTATGCGACAAGTCTTCTTGATTTCTGTGTGAATGACGGTAATAAAATAAAATAAGTTATTACAAAGTCAATAAGAAATTTTGTGAGAAATTATTAAGTCTTATACATAAGCGAAGTGATGAGCTCGTACAACCGCACAGTGCTTGAAAAAAAAAAGCGATATTAACGATCATTATTCTACGCCATTACGTCTGAAGTCATTATGTTTTTCATCTTACTTTGTCGTACAATAACTAAAACTATTTATATTACCATCATTATGCCCTACACCACTTGTGGTATAAGGTATATTAAGTTAATGTGGACATATGTAACCCGCAGGAAGGCTTGAAATAAAACCACTTTTTTTATAATACCGATCGATTCAAAATCATAATCTGAATTAATCTAAGCCGGTCTACTCATCTGTCCATCTGACGTCCATCCATGTAAATTTGTGTTTAAGGTACAGGTGGTCATTTTTGATATATTTTGATGAAATTTGGTGCAGCGACCCAACAAGGAACACTATTGCAAATGATTCGGATCGGCCCACTTTTTCAACCACGCTTTTCGATAACGCCCTATTCTAAAAAAAAATTCTAATTTTCAAAATTATCGGGGAAAGGTAGTAGTCGTTAAGTAGTGGTATTTTCGACATTCTAAGTTGGTATGGAAACTTTGAATCGGCTGGGCCTATTGTTGAAACCCCTCTCATATAGCGAAAACTGAAGTTCATACGACAAAAAGTTATAATAGCAATGAAACATGAAAAAATAAGCCATGCCAAATTTGGCCTACCACGGCCTATATTTTGCATCCTACTACCACTTAGTAAAGTGATGATAAAAATTGCCCCGTAATAGTAATTTCATATAAAAATAAGAATTGTGTTAGACAATGTGGCGAAGGGCGTTTAATAGTCGGCTTATCCCGACTATAATGATTCCACTTGTTTTTCCTTAATTTTCACGGGAACACTTATAGGCTGAGCGATCGGGAAGGCAGACCAATATAGCCTCAACTTGCCAACGCAAAGTCATATGCCAAACCATTGCTTTTTTGCAAATTCTCCCTACACAACGTTAACTATTAGGCATTGCTGCCACGTAAGGCTTCGTTGTTTGAAAGAGTGTTTATGTGGAAACGATTTAAAAAGCCACGCCCTTATTTCCACTTTGCTTAGCAAGTCAAAAACAATATTTCACCCATTTTTGTTGAGAAATATTAACACTAAGGCTACCGACATTTCATGTATACCTATTTCTACCATGAGCGGTCAAATGACCGCGTCAAAAAAAACATATGTAAAGTAGATAGTAAACAAAATATTTTTCTGATGCTACAATAGATACTCGTTCCCCGCTTTTCGATATTGTATGTTTTATTTACTTTTATGCATTTTCATCACATTTTTTACAAATTACATCATTTTGTATTGCACATTTTCCACATACGTATTTTTTACATTTTATACAAATTTTGTTTGTTTTGTTGACTTTACAATATCTTATTTGACAAGATCTCCGCTCAGAAGAAGCAGTGTTTGTGTTTATTATTGTTTTTGATGAGCATTCTTGGCTTATCTGTTTCTCTTTCTGATATTCGGTCCCAAGTTCTTCTGCCAACTGAAATAAAAACTCTTGCCTCGATATTTCCCCACCCGCCGCTTCTTTATATAAAATCCAAGAGTTTATCCCGGCTAAATCTAAGATATTGAAAAAGATCTGTAAAGGCCATCTTTGAGATTTAGATTTTACACTAAATTTTATTATTTTTTTTTTTCTTGGATAACGATGTTTGCGTGATAAATGGAGACCATCTATATTTCTAGCTTCTTAAAGAAAAAAAAAGACAACACTTTCACTGTCATTAAAAATGACTTTATTGTTTTTTCAAATGTTCTTCTTTATGATCTATGATGACGCTTTTGCATTTGTTCAAATTATTTCCATTCAACATATGCTATTGGAACTAAGGTTTAATGGTGCCTCGATTTTACAGTAAGGTGCGGTTTTTGCATAGCGCCAACGTTTGCTGAGCCTCACACAACAAATGATTTTGGATGACCTTGCCGATTTCCGCGCATGCGCGAACGACCGCCACGACTTAAGTCGTTATAGCAGCGTTTTAGAACGGCAAGGGATGGTGCATCTTTTCCAAAAGTGAAAGTAAGTTGACAGCTTCACCCTCCTCTTAATAATCTACAATGAATTTCGTAAAAACTATCGCACGAAACTATTCAAGGGTTGATTCATCATTTCGTGGAATCACAATTTTCAAAAAATATCCTGAGAGTCTACTGATCAAAAATGCCAAAGTTTCGAGTGCGCCCTGTAAATGGCACCAAACAACATAGAGTGTTGCTAAGACTAAAAGCATAAGCTACGATCAATGTACGGCTTTCTTAGGAAGAATTATTCAAGTTTTCCGTATTTCCTGAAAATTTCTCAAAAGTTCTGAACAGTCGTCTCAACACAAAAACAAATGTGTAGACAACAAGCAGATAGATCTGTAGAATTTCAGCTGCTAAGGGCGATCTTTTTTGGATTGAAACCCAATAATGATAGCAATCGGGGCTATAGTCTTATTGCTGCAGTTTGCAAAATTTTGAAAAAAACTTTTGGTAGCTAGCGTTTTTTTCTAAAATTATTTCAAGAATAGCTGGTTCATCAAGTCGATCTTGATACTTTCTCGGTCTTGGATCCTAAAGAGGCCATATAGATGTAAGAAGCTGCATTGGTTTACATGCAGCAACGAAGCACGATGAATGACTGTGATCCGCCTATATGCGCGCTCAAAATATGGAAAAAACTAAATCAATCTCTATAAAATAGTGACATTTCTCTTATACGGCCAGTAGTATCACTTTTATCTTCAGTCTAAAATGGTTCCGTTACGTTTGCCAACACGCCCCAGGTTACCCCTAAAATTTTATTTTCTACTTATATCCAATTTTCTGCAACACGAGTTAGCAGAAAAAAAATGATATTAAATTGGAATTAGAAAAAATTGTATCGTCTGTCCGTCTGTGCTATGTCTATTGTAGACATGCTCTTGAACGCAAAACTGCACCTATCGACTTCAACTTTGGTGGAATAATTGAACGCTATTGGACGCAGATTAATATTGAAAGTTTTCCAAATCCGTTGAAGGACTCGTCCACAGTACTGCATAAAAAGGTGGCAAGTCTGCTTTTCAAAAGAAATAAAAAATTGGTTTTTTGCTCATTATTCGCAAACTGCAGCAGGAAAACCTACAAAAAATTGACCGTATATTCTATGGGCACTGCTCTAGTATCTCGACAAAAATGGATAAAATCGGCCGCGCCTACTCAATTTTATAGTGCGTCATAATATAATTTTTTCTTTTTTTTTTATAAGTTCCAGTAAAAGGAAACTTAAGATTTAGATTATTACTCTTAAATTCCGGTATATTAAAATATCTTACAATTCTCAGCCACTTCCTGCAAATCTCCATGGTTTGTGTTACACATTGAGAAAAAATATTTTCGATTTATTTCTCTCGTCTATCGTGCTGCGCACTGCAATGCAATCTGTGTAAGAAAATTGTTGAAAAAATTTGTAGACTTACCCTCATCTGCCGTAACTGGATGTTGCTCTGCTTTTACTCCACTTAATATCAAATTCACTAAGATTAGTCCAATTTTTGTAGATAAACATTTTTGATGGTTAGGCATTATTGTAAAAAGATTTGTGCTTAAGAAAATTATGTTTAAAATTTTCTTCATTTAAATTAAAAATGAATCATGGACGAGAAACATTTAAAAATTTTCATTATGCCTCCGTCAACATAATCCTGTAAAAACCTGTAAAGAAAATGAATAAAGAGAAAAATGCAGAAATTGTGTTAAAATGCATTCATAAAAAAAAAAGGCATAAGGGAGTTAATTAATTCTCATTTATAACCATTTTCACAAAGCTCTGCTAAAGTCCAACCATTAGTTTGGTTAAGAGTGATGAAGAAAAAAAAAAAAAAAAAAGAAAAAAAAATAGAAGCAATTTCCACCTTTCTAAGCATTTTTCTTTCAATTAAAAAAAATTATAATACGCAAAGGAAGTGGTCAGTCGAAGTTTCGGATTGTTGTTGTTACAGGAACTTTGCTTAGGCTTTTCGGTAATGCTTTTTATCATTTCGATTAAAATATTGATTAATTAAGTTTTTTGTTGTTTTTTTTTTTTTCTTGTTCTTTTATATGGCCTTTACAAATGCTCCTTTTAAATATTTTGCATAAGAAAATTTGGATTTTAAATTAAATTAGTTAGTAAGTGAAATCTAAATTGAATCAAAAACGTAATCGTTTTCTTATTTGTCGCAATTTAGTTATTAATTGCAGCCACGATCAAGTGTTACAATTGATTAAAGCTTTAAAAACGCCAATAAGCTATTGCCAAGTATCGCTAACACGCAAGGTAATTGAACAGTTTTATCAATAAGCAATAATTCATCAGAGGGTAATTTACAGCAGTTATTGTGTGTTACCATCCTTTCATGGAGACAATTCCGAAAAAGATTGATTGTTTTCGCTAACAATTTAACATTTTTTTCATATCATTGCAAAAAAACCAAGACTATGCGCTCAGCCATCATGAAAACCATTTAGATGATTTATTATATAGTACGCGCTAACAGGCGGTAAATTTTCTACGATAAAGTCACTAAGGAATGCATTTAGCGAGCAAAAGGTTACCTTGCTTGCGTTTATATTTATTATTTCTATTGCATAAATTCCTATTAAATATTAGTTTCGAAATATGTGTTTTTGATTTTGAACACACACACACACTCCGTGCAAACGATGCCATCAATTTTGGTTAAGTTATAAAAAATGATTTCCTTTACCTAGGTTACGTAGGTACCCTCCAGCAGAATACACCATTTTTTCGAAAGAATTACTACTACATTTTATCAAGTATGATGGGCTGTCATAGTATTGGTCTCACTTCGATAATATAAAGTATTTCATCTGCTTAGCTGCTTGTAATTGTATGCAAAACAAATAATTTACGATAGCAACTACACTTGACTTGTTTAATACGTTGAATGTTAAAATTCCGCCATTTAGTGACGTTTTCAACGGAAAATGAAGACAAATCCAAGTCGAAGTTAAGAAAAGCCGCATTTTACGACACTCAGTTATATCACTCAGTAACCTTAAACTTAAAATTTAACTATAAGGTTTCCTTCAGCCAATTACTAGCAAACCGAAGAAAATCAATCATTTGGTTAATAACATGACGTAGGAAAATCCTTCACAATAAGTAAGAAAATGTCAATCATAAGAAGTAAAAATGAAATAAAAATAACTTAACTAATATTTAGCACAGTTTATCGATATAGATGACTAGCAAATAATTTAATTTTTGTTCGACGAGGTCAGTTAAATAAACTGTTTGCTACACTACAGCGATATTTGATAGCTCACTATGAAAATTGGCTTTCTTCTAAAATGACATTTTTCTGTTCTTTCTTTTTTTTTTTTTTAAAGATTTTTATAACTTGCATCACTTGCATATTAAGTTTGTGCGGATGTATGCAACACTCAGAAGGACATGAAATAGATCGATTTTATATTCAAATTCATAATCATTTTCCAAATCAATTAAAATGTGTCTGTCCATCTGTCCACGTTCTTTGTTATGTTCACCTTATGTTCACAAACCGCAATTGTTTATTAAGTTTGGTACACTGACGTGCTGTGGCCCAAAGATGGACGGTATTCAAAACTCTCTTCGGATCAGACCACTTTTTCAAAGACTTCCCAAATAACATCTCATTTTGGAAAGCACTCTCATGAACAAGTGCAGAAAGGTGTAATGCATTTAAGGGTGGGCCGTGGCGTTCTACTTTTTTCTTGCTTCTAATGGTTTTCTACTCAACAGACTCGTTAATGAAATAATTTTCGAACAAGAAATCCCCGGAAGAACGGCTTAACTCTCAAGGAAGAAACTATTTAATGTGGATAATCTATCGATGACATAATTTAGCGAATTTTTCTTTGCATGTAATTTTGAGCAGGCCTTGAGCTTCTAGTTCGCTCACGCCCAAATCGGATAAAGTAAATGTAATCGACTTTTAATTTCATCAAAATATCAGGTTTCAATCAATTGACCGCCAAGTCCAAGCGATGTGGCCATCTTTGAGTGCTTTCATTGCCGTTACATTACAAAGTTGAAATATGTCTGAGTAATTCATAAGCAATTTCTGATCTAAAAACGAACATATGTTGAAAAATTGATGCCTGCTGTTATTAGAAAAATTTTACGGAAATTCAAGAACTTGTAAAAGTGATCCAATCTTGAAATATGAGAAGTCATTGAGAGAAACGTATGAGTAACAACGGTTAGGATCAGTGGGTAAAATAGAACAGTACGACCTTACATTTGTAGTAAGAAATTATTCTGGATTAACTATTAAGAAACGCTTCTCTTACTATTTAGTCTGGTCGACCAATACGATCTTGACATTGATTAAACATATATAACAATGTTCTTAATACAGGTCGATGGTATACCAAGCAAACAGATTTATTAAAGATATATAAGGAACAAAAATGATTAATATTGAGATAATATATCGAGTATGCAACGCTTCTTCAAGGTTCTTATTTAGACCAATTCATCTATAAAAGATATTGCCAAGAATTTACATGAGTCTATCGTGACATTTAGAAGAAAGGCGTTGAATTTGATTTTATAAAGGTGAATTAAGATATGAGAGGCATATCCACAAAATTTGGATGAAAGTAACGTTTAACCTCGCGATTGATACTACAAATCCCTTTGGAAGACTCATTCGGATAATGCAAGCACTGAATTATTGTATATAGGTTCTTTCTTCGAATTTTGGAAAAGGGTTAGGGATATTAGTAGTTGATAACACCTTTCATTAATTAGCTTTGTGCAAAAGGATTTTGTGTATCTTTGGTCTTATGGAGGGATGTCTTCTCCTTTTAAGGAAGCTTGTACATTAACGGAGACCTGATCGCAATATTTTAGATAATAAATTTTCCTCTTTCTTTACATCTTACTCTAGATAGATCTCTTTTTCTCTCTTTATCGATCTTTTTCTTATCTTCAGTTTAAGTTGGAAATATTGAGATAAAAGAAAAATATCTGACGCCTGCATGAATAGTGCTTTTAGATAATTTAGTTTCGCAAAGACATGAGTGGGTAATAGATGTCATGAAGTACTTAATACATGCTCTATGTAAAAGACTTTTTTCACCTACAAAGCTAGATATAATAGTTGATAGTAAGCTTCGTTTTACTTTCCGTATTTAATTTCACATAAGGTTGCTCGAGAAAAAGAGATAACGTATGCTTTATAATAGGACTAGACATGAGCTTGGTCTGATTGACACCGGAATATGCCTCCGACATATGACCTCCAAACTATTTTGGCTTTACTGCATTCCAGTCTGTTCAGGAATAATTCTCGCTTTTCGTAAGGAAGTGACCTACCTTCGAAGTCACTAATTTCGTTGCCAGTATGTGTAGACAGCCAATTAATAATAAAGCTTTGGCTTTACTCGAAAACCGCCGATTCATCTTAGGTATTTCTTTCTTGGTAAAGCTGATGAATGGAATGCATTGACTCGAAAACTTTTTGTTAAATGGTTTAAACTGGAATGTTCCTATTCATCCGTCAAATAATTTTCCTTTCACTAAATTTTAGACAAAGTAAATTCAATCATAAAGCATTTAACTAACTTGGGATCTCATGTAAATAATATTTATAACTCAGTCTCCTTACATTCTTCCAAACTTAAATTCGTTTCTAATGCTCAAGTATTGTCGATAGGATGCTTGTACTGCAAAGTTTACGTTAAGGTATTAAACGATGTTGTTACGAATTAGCAGCGAAGCCTTGGTATGCTTTGCGTCGATTTGTGATAGCACGCTCTCAATTTGATGTGGATGATGTGTGCGTAAGTCAGTGGACTATATGTGTACATATTTAATTTTTTTCTTTTCGTTTAATTGATATTATAATTATAATGTCATAGTTAAGTGTTTAATTTTAAGTTCGCTTAGTTTACCTCAAGCAACAACAATAAATAAATAAATAAATAAACCGACTCTACGCTAAGTAAATAAATATTCTATGTGCATTTAGCGGGGATAAGACCGTTGTGACCGTCGTATCCTTGACGAATAGAAGTCAAAGCGTTTGCCGCAAATTGGTTAACAATTTTTTTTTTTTTTTATTTTGAGGAAAATTCCGTCTTATCGATAAGAGGGTTTCGCCAACAAATGTTTGCTTAAGTTAAATAAAGAAAGTAGGAAGAATCCAAAGGCATTTATGCTTAAAGCAGTTTAGCTAGCAAAAGAAACCACTTCAAGTGAAGGAAAAAGAAACCGAAAGCTGCCAACATTTTCATCTTCTTCTTTTTTTACTTTTATTTTGATTTATTCCCGTAATGCGATACCTTTTAATAAACGCCTCTTTCTTTTTTGTTTGTGTTGCTTTGTAAATGATGATCGTAGTGTTGTGTTATAATGTGGAATAATTCTTTAAAAACACAATTTTCCTCTTTTTCACTTATATACACTTAGAAAACACGCCGAATGTAAGAGAAAGAAAGATTTCCCCATGAGAAATCACTTCATTGTGTGTCGGTCTATTGCGATATCAGATAATTACGTAATACTTTTTCTTTTTCGCTTTTTCCTTAATTTTTTTCAATCTGTTTTATGTTTGGTTTCGTTACGAAAAAAATCTCGACCTGAGTAAAGATAAAGGAAAATTAATTAAAGAGTTTAAAGGAAAAGGTGAAACTCGAACGCGTTACATATATATATATTT